ATAATTATTACAAAATTTAAATAAAATATAATAATTTAATTTTAAAAACTTTTAACAAACATTTAAATTAATTTTTTATTTGCATATTTGTGTATAAAAATTATATATTTATATTTATAGTTTTCTAAAAGCATCATAATTTTTTGTTGATTTATTTTTATATTATTAAAAAAATAATATATCATATTAGCTAAAGAGTGACTTATATTTAAAAAATAGGTTTTAGATATTTTAAAAAAATATTTTATTACAATTATGATGAATTATGACTAATAGTAATATTTACAAAACATATTAAAAAATTTAAACAAATAATTTTGTTTTGTTTTTTAAAAAAAATCAATTAATAGCATAAACTTTTCATTAACAATAAGTTGTTTTAATATTATTGTTAAAATATACTATTATTAACACAATACTACAATATTATGAGTTTGTGAAATAAAAGCAATATTTCATAACTATTAATATAACTAATAAATATTTATAAATGTATTGATAAATAAGTATAGTTAACAAAAAAAAATATTTATAAAAATATGAGAAAATTTGTCAACTAAAATTATAAACAAATAATTTTTCGTTATTTTTTTCAAATATCAATTGCTAGTACAGTACAGTATTTATAATCACAATAAATATTATATATAATAGTATATATTTTTTACAGTATAAATGAAATTCATATAATTAAAATTGTAAAATTATCATATAAAATATTTTAAATAAATTGTAGTGTTTTATGTAAAAAAAATTATATATTAGATCATAATAAATGTAAAAGTTTTTAGTTATTAAATATTACAGATATGTTATTTAACATTACAACTGAAGGTATAGTAAATAATAATATGTAAAGTATTTATACAAAACTATTGTATTTTGACTATGTATTTACAAAATTATAAAAGTTATTTAAAAAATATTTTTTAGATATCTTTAATGTTATGATTAATACAATTGGTTTTATTATAATCACATTCATATATATATGATAGTAGTATAATATTTGAGTTATAAATAAATATCAGTTTATTTGTTAACATAGAATTAAATAAAATGTTTCAAACAATTTCAATTTAATCAATATTTAATATTTTGTAAAATAATTTAATTATTAACTACAATAAATTTCTCAATAAATTTATAAATATTTAGTACTTAAAAAATTGTTAAATTATAACAAATTAAAGTTTTTTGTTTAAAAATTATAAATTAAATTATAATTTATATCTTTAGTTAATATTATATATTATTTTATTTTAATAATTTAAAATATTTTCCTATTTACTATTTATATTAATATCATATAATATTAAAATTTTCATCAATCATATTGTATATATTAATAAACTACTTATATATAATATAAAATATATATATATTATTACGTAATACTTTATATAACTTTGACTAAATTAATAGTTTATGATTAGAGAAAATAATATGAGATACAGTTTTTAACAACAACAAAAATTATATAAAAAATTAAGATATGATTTTATAACTTGAAAAATTCAATTAATAATTTTAATGTAAATAAAATTTTGTTTTTGAATAACAATTTCTCACAACAAAATCAACAATTATTAATACATAAATATAAATTGATTAATTAGAAAAATATGTCCCTGTTTACTATTTTACAATAATATCTATTATATCAAATGTTCAACAATTAGTAATATTACTTGATATTAATTAACTATAAATATTTATTCAATAACAATATACACATAATATATAACAGTTTATAAATTAATAGTTTATAGTTAGAGAAAATATGAGACATTTTTTTCAACAAAATTTATATAAAAACCAGTTGAGAATGCTAGAAAGCATTACCAAAAACAAATTTTTAACGCATAAATTACTTGTTTTTGTCTTAGTATAAACAAAATATTTATTGATTTTCTGATGATGCAATATTTCTGTAGATGCAATATATCTGATGATGCAATATATCTGATGATGCAATATTTCTGATGATGCAATATTTCTGTAGATGCAATATATCTGATGATGCAATATATCTGATGATGCAATATTTCTGATGATGCAATATATCTGATGATGCAATATTTCTGATGATGCAATATATCTGATGATGCAATATTTCTGATGATGCAATATATCTGATGATGCAATATTTCTGATGATGCAATATATCTGATGATGCAATATTTCTGATGATGCAATATATCTGATGATGCAATATTTCTTATGATGCAATATTTCTGTAGATGCAATATTTCTGTAGATGCAATATATCTGATGATGCAATATTTCTGATGATGATGCAATATTTCTGTAGATGCAATATATCTGATGATGCATTATTTCTGATGATGCAATATTTCTGATGATGCAATATATCTGATGATGCAATATTTCTGATGATGATGCAATATTTCTGTAGATGCAATATATCTGATGATGCATTATTTCTGATGATGCAATATTTCTGATGATGCAATATTTCTGATGATGCAATATTTGTGGTGATGAAATTGTATTTTTATAATGATTTATAGATCATTTTATAATATATTAATTTATCCTCAATTTTCTCTGTTCTTGATGAGGTAAAAATTTTAATTCTGATTCTTATACTTTATTTTTGATGCATAATAAAATCTAAACCAAAAGTTTCAACCTAAATTTTTTATACTTTGGCCGCCATTTTCTATGTATCGGAAAATATATTAAAATTTTAATTCTGATTTCTATACCTTACTTATAATGGTTTGTTCAAATCTTATCTTTAAAATTGTTAACTAAAATTTTTTGTACTTTGGCCGCCATTTTCTCTATGTTCCTGAAGAGATAACAAAATTTTAATGCTGATCCCCTATACCTTATTTTTGATGATCTAACCGAATCTGAAATCAGAATTTCAAAATTCACAAAACACACACACACACACACACATATAGAATTCATTAAACAAATTTGAAAAAAATTTGTTTGAAAACAGTTATGTTATGATTTTGAAAAATTCAAACAATAGTTTGAATGTAAATAAAAAATTAAATGTTTTTAAATAACAAAGTCTATAACAAATTATTAATAATACATAAATATAAAATGTATAATCAATTTATATTTAAAATATAATTCATAATAACTTTACTTAAAGTTAGTTTAGTTTTATAATACTGTATATAAAAAAGTAAATAATTTATATCTAAACTTAATACAATATTTAATAGTTTTTTAAATTGTCATTTATTTAATAATATTCAACTAATTTACTATTAATACAGTATAGTTAAAAATATATTTTTAATATATTTTTAATTATAAATATAAAACATACATATAATAATATATATAATATATATACTGTATATAAAAGGTAAGTTTATATTAAATATTTTTATAATATACATTTTGTAATAATTATTTAGTATTTAATTTTTTAATATTAGCTAATTTTGACAAATATTACAATTAATAAGTTTTATCACAAACTAATATCACATCAACTATTGGTCGTATAATTCAAAGCAAACATAACAACTGTGAGTAAAATATAATTTTATTATTTAATAAAAATTTTAATTTTATTGTAAAAAAATAAACATTTTTTTAGATTTCAAAAATATGTCAAATAATATTAACAATACCTTCAATATTACATCACTTATCAGTGAAACAATCGATACTATTAGCAATAATACTGAAAATGATGGTAAGAAAGTATTATTTCAAAAAAAACATTCATTCAATTAATAATTATTTAATAAATTAATTCATTTTGTTTTTGCAGATCCTTTTGATGTCAAAATCAATGTAATTACACTTATATTATGCATAGTAATGGCATTAATATTAATATCGGCTATAGTTGTCTTCGTTTATCGCAAACACACAGTAATTACTGTACAAAATATGGACAACAATTTCGGACAAACTATTAGTAATAGAAATGATCAGACATTTGATGACAACAATGACGACGACATCAGGTGTGGACCAAACACTTTGATTGAACTTCAGATACGACAACAACAATAACAACATATGATTGAGAAATATTGAATCAATTAATATGTGATCAAAAAATGAATGTTTGATATATTATATAATTTATTACTATTATATATATATATATAATAAATTAAGTGTTAGTTATTGTATTTAAAGTTTATATCAATTATATATCTTATAAATAGTTTTGTTGTTGTTGTTGAAAATCTGCTAATTTAAAATTAAAAATATTTATTTTATTATTATAAATATTTATAATAATTGAAAAATTATTTAAAAAATATAATAATTAATAACCAAATAGATTTTTATAATTTTTTTTATATAATTACAACTAATAAATAATCTACATTTTAATAGTTAATATTTTTATTATTGCAGATTTTATTATATATACTGTATATAAACTATAATTTTAGATTAATAATAAAAAATAACTGTTATGTTTAACTTAAACTTAGTATCACTTGATTTACAACAATTATTTTACCGTTAATTTGTGTTTTTCGGTATAGAGTTTAGTATAAGTTCATTAGTACTGTTGCACTGGTAGTCCAGGACATACCCAGTGCTTCCCGTAATGGCTTAAAAGTTAGGTACAATTACAAACACTAGTAGTGTCCACACCAAACAAACAAAAATCAATACCATATAATTGTTGCTATAAATTAATGTTAAAACTTTTAACTTAACTTTTAAACTTTAAATAATTTTACTAAAAATATATACATTTAAAATTAATTTTGTTTTATAGCATAATAAATTTATATAAAATAATAATAATAATAATAATAATATTATTATTATTATTATTAATTATAATAATAATAATATATAAAATATATTACAAAATATTATTTTATTAAACATATGTTAGTTTGCAAAAAGTTTAGTTAGTATTTTTTTAAACAGTATTAAAAAACAAACATTTTTTTAGATTTAAAAAATATGACAAATAATGAAAATATTATTTAAAAAACAATTGAATCAATTAATAATTATTATATTTAGTTAGTATTGCTTAAAACAGTTTCAACAATCCATTCAATAAATTTTGATACACGTATAAAAACCATTTTTGTATTGGGATCGGGATTATGACAATAACCGATCGCTTTATTTCCAACTGAACTGCTAATCACACCGATAAGTACGGCCCGATTCTGACCATCACTACTATCGCTATCTAAAACATTTTGAATCAATGGTCCGCCAGAATCGCCCTAATTATTGTTAGTTTAAAAAATAAATTAAATTAAATTAATTATTAACAACTGATATATTTAATAAAATAGATATTTTTTTAAAAAAAATTTGCTATTATATAAATTTATATATATATATATATATCTTGCAATATGATTTTTAAAGTTATTTTAACGTTTTTTCTTATTTTTAATCAATAATTAGATTTGTATAAATTTTAAAAACAAAAACACTAAAATAGTTTTAATTAAAATTAAAATTTTATAAAACTTAAAAAAATGTCGACGCCCTCGGCGCCGAAATTTTAGGGGAGGGGCATTTCTACTCGTTTTTCACATTTGGTCAGAATGTCTGGGGGGTAAATCCCAAAATCTCGATCTTAGGGGGTATTTTGGCCTTACCCCCTACCCCACTTACTTAACCCTGATATATATATATACCTTGCAAGTAGCCATTCCTCCATTATTCGGATATCTAAAGGCTATGATCCGAGCGCCAAATATATCAGTAATATTGCCAAATGTTTTCATTAACTTTAACCAACCCGTTCTCAATGGTCCCGGATTACTGACTCCCCGATCAATGTAACCAAAACCAGCAAACAGTGCCAACTCGTCATCGATGTTAACAATGTTTTTGTCGGTCAAACAAATACTGTTTACCGTATAATACCCGGCCGTATGTGTGATAGGTATATGTGAATCCAATTTTAGTAATGCAATATCCAAATACTGATTAAGTGATTAATTAATTAGATATATATATAAATTATTTGTTTAATGTTTAATATATCTATAGACAGTTATTTGATTAAATAATTATAAAATAAAGAATTTGTTTTTTTAAATATATAAGTGGTAATTCACATATTACGTTCGCACATGAGAACTTAATATGTGAACAGCCCCTAAATAAATTTTGTTATATTTTTAAAAATTTATTTCTATAAGATAAGTTTTTTTTTGTTTATTTTAATAATATTTAGTATTTAACAAAAATATAATTATTTAGTTAATTTTTTTTTTAGTTAGTTAGATTGACATTATAATACATTGGTTTATATTGGATATATATATTTACTGTATATAAATTTATAAAAAAAATATAAACCAATGTATTATAATGTCAATCTAAACTAACTAAACAAAAATTTTTTTAATTAAATACCAGTTAATATATATTTTTGTTAAATTATTATACATTATTAATGTAAAAAGTATTTTGCTTTACATACTTTAGAAAAACTAATATAAATTTATTTATTAAAATCTTTTCTATATATATATATATATATATATATATATATATATATACTGAATGTATACCTTTTTGAGTTTATCCGTATATAATGGATGTCTGAACCATTGATTTACACCATATATATGACTCTTATCATTGCTATCCTGAACTGTACGCACAGTTAGTGTGTGACCGGAACTTAAAATCAAAATAATATATATATATATATTACTTAATAATAATTATTACTTAAATTAAAGACTAATTCAATTAATTAATTTAATTTAATTTAATATAATTATATTAATAAAGAAAACTAAAGTTATAATCTTTAAAAAAACTATATTTACAAATAAATTAATAAGTTATTAAATTAGTTTCTATATTTAAGTAATTATTTATTTATTTTATTAATTTTTTTTTGATATTAATATTAATAGCATATCATACTGTATACAATGCGCTGCTGTTATAATCCAATTGGTGTTTAGTATAACTCCAGTACAATATACCCTATAAAATATTAAATAAGTTTTTTATAAATAATTTATTTAATTATTAAATCTATTTATATTAATAAACTATTAAATTGCAAACCATTCTAATGGAATAAATCCTAGAAAATAATATGTAGAATAGATATATACAATCCATGGCCACTCTCCCGGTTGAGCTAACCGTCCGTTTTGTACACTTGTAGTCACATTTGATGACCACTTGAAACAGTTTTTTGTAGTCAACAGTGACTGCCGTCCGATACCACACGTGTCGAGCGTTACGTTCGGATAGTGTTTGATCTGTGAGTGAATGCAAACACTGAACGACACCAATACTGATGACAACAATACTATTAATAATAAAAATAATTATAAATAATATTCATATTAGAAATGTATTGTAAATTTATTTTATAAGCTTTTAGTCATTTAAAAAATCATTATAAAATATTAACAAACATAAGTTTAGCAAAATTTTCATTATGATATCCTATAATATTTAGATATATTTCAATTCTATTCTAATAAAAGTTATTAATACATTACATTAAAATTCTATTATTTAATTTAATATAATTTAATTAAAAAGTTTATAATAATGTTTAAACAAATAGTTTTAAGTTTCTTTAGTGATAATTAATATTTAAAAAATATTTACATTATTGTATTGGATTACAAATTTTATAAAAATATTTTTATTACTTTTTTATGTTTTTATAAATATTAAATAAAATTAAATTATTTGTAAGTCTTAACAAATATCAAATATCAAAGCATCTATTGATTTATTTCTAATTATTAATTATAAAAATATATATCATATTAACTAAAGTTATTAGCATAAGCTTTGATTGCTTTAAATCTTCTTAATATTAATTAATATTGAAAATTTAATACTAAAGTTATTGTACTATAAAAATATTTAATTTAAATATTCCTTAATTATAATAAATTATAATATTATATATGAATTTTTAAATGAATTTGAATAACTTTCAATAAAATTATTTTAAAATAATAACTATAAAATAATAATGTTAACTATAGATTAAATATACAATTTATTTACTGTAATATATATATATAGTAATATAAAAATATAAAAACTAAACTAATTTTAAGTAAATTATTATGCATTGTTTAAAAATAAATTGATTATGCATTTTATATGTATGTATTAATAATTTGTTGTTTTTGTTGTAGTATTTGTTATTTAAAAACAATTTTCACGAACTCCTGAAAGAAGTAAGTATCTGAATTCTATATGTCTTTCCGTCCGTCCGCATTTAATTAAATTTTGATTTCAGATTTGGATTAGGTATCAAAAATAAGGTAAGGGGATCAGCATTAAAATTTTGATATCTCTTCAGGAACATAGAAAAAATGGCGGCCAAAGTAAAAAAAATTTAGGAAAAAAGTATAGATTTGAATAAAGCATCGTAAAAAGCATAGGTAATCAGAATTAAAATTTTGTTATCTTATTAGGAAAATAGCGACCAAAGTAAAAGAAAAATAGGTAAAAATTTTAACGTTAAATATTGTATAGAGCATAAAAAATAAGATAATAAATCAGCCACATTTTTCAAAAAATAAAATGGCGGTAAAAGTATAAAAAATTAAATATAAGTTAATGTATGATTTTCTAAGATTTATATTATTAATATAGAAGTAATTCAGTATTTTTTTAAAAATGAGTATTTATAAATTTTAATACTGAATCATTTAAAACTTCACATGAATAGTTGAGTTTATTTTGTCATACTGAAACATTTGATATCCTACATGACTATATTTGAGTTTATTTTGTCATACTGAATCATTTACACATGATTAAAGTTTACTTTGGATAAGGAGTTAGTATGGAAATGCTTTCTAGCATTCTCAACTGGTATTATATAAATTTTTAATTATTTGTTTTTTTATTTTTTTTGTTAATAATAATAATAATCTAATTAATTTGTTATATGTTATACATTTTAATATCTCTATAGCAATATTATAATTATAGTAAATTATTTTTATAGCAATTATATAATTTTTTAACCTACAAATTTTAAAACACTAATAAAACTTAAAATCAATGAAATAACAAAAAAACTGTATGTCATTATTTATGTTAAATGAAATAAAACTTTAATTATATTATTAATATATCGTATAAAAAATTGCAGATTTTAATGAAACTAAATAAATATATAAATTGTTTAAAATTTATTTATATTAAAATTATTATATTTTATAAACAAAAAAAATAAATTGTTAACTGTTTAGACAACTAAAATAGATATACAGTTTAGCTTAAAAAAATACTGTCCATATTATGTATGAGCTATCGTCAAATGTTAAGCACAGTTTGCACTGTATTTTAGTGTTGTTAACAATCATTGGCTATGAGTTGTCGTATTATAAAAATCCTAATATTACTGACAAATCGGTCAGTAATTTGTTTGCCGATTATGACCACTGGACAGCATTGGCTATATTTATCTATAATTTATTAGATATAGTTATATCAGTGCCAAACACTTTTTTAAACATTTTTGGTTTAGTTTTGTACAATGCTTTCCGATCAGAGATTAAGATTAAAGCGTTGAAAAATATTCAGAAAAACATACCATTTCTATGCATACGTGTTGTCACGCGTGGAGATTATCCACAATTGGTCCGCAAGAATGTCGATCGCAATATGAAAACATGTTTATCGTCAGGTCTTAGAGATTTTATTATCGAAGTGGTCAATGATCGGACCATTGGTCTCAAAACGAGTACAAAAATACGTGAATTGGTTGTACCCGACGGCTACCGAACAAAAAGCGGCGCTCTTTTTAAGACCAGAGCTTTGCAATATTGTTAGGACGACGGGATCAATACATTGCAGGACAACGACTGGATCGTACACTTGGATGAGGAAACAGTTATCACAAAATACTCGGTTAACGGTATTATAAATTTAAATTATAACTTAAAATTTAAGTGGCAATTATTTTATTTTTTTTTTTGTTATTAGCAATAAATTTACTAAAAATTTTTCAACTGAAAACTATCTAGATTAATTTATTACTATTTTAAAATTAAACATTTTATAAAATATATTATATTATTATCATTATTTTAAAAAATTTATTTTGTCTTATAACAATAATATATTAATTATAAATACGATATTTGTAATAATTTATATAATTATAAGAAAAACATTAATTAATGTTTGACCATATTTGAACTTTTAATTATACTAATATATTTAATTTTAGTAATAAAATAATTTAAATTCAAATAAAATTTGCATTTTAACTACCGGTAATGTATTATTATTATAATCATTAATATGAATTTAGTAATAAATATTAAATACTAGTTTTTTATACAATTTTTATTAATTTATATAATGTTTTTAAAATTGAATTTACAAATAAAACATTTTGAAAACAGTTTAATAATATTACAAATTAATACTAAATATCTAATAAAATACTATTATTACTATTTGTAACATTAAGTAATTTAGTGATATTAATGTTTTTTTTTAAATAATATTGTTGTTAATTATAATTAATTAAATTTTAGAAAAACTTTTCTTTTTGGTAAAGTATTAGTATTAATATTATTAGTATCACTATTACTATCATTAGTATTAATAGTACTGTTATTATTATCATTTAAATTATTAACATTAATAATAATATTATTAGTAGTATTAATATTATTTATCTCTAACTTAGGCCCAACGCGTATTTGTTGTGCACATATATTAACTGAATAATTATTATAGATATTTGTTAATAATTTTATTAAAATTAATAAACTTTTATTGGATAACTTGTAAACAGTAAATCCAGACCATAGACTAATAATACTACCAAATAATACCATATATTCAATAAAATATTGTTTTGGTGTTTGTGTGAACACAAATGTGGGATCCGGTGAATAAAATAATTCAATCCATGTTTGGTTGATATTCAAATCTGAATAGGATTTGTATTTATTAATTGATAGATATGTTTGTCGACAATATTGCCTATATTTACAATATTTGCTACAATTGGGTATAGTTTTATCAAATTCTAAATCAGTGTTATTAGAAAACATTATATTTTGATAATTAACATCATCTGAATATACTAATTGAAATGATGGATATAAATGAAATTTGTCGACCAAATAGTTAATTATACATTCAGTTATACATTGTGTTTGATAAATAATTATGTTATTATCAACCATATTATCAAATATACAGTTTGACGGATACGGTGCTGGTAGCAAATTGATCTCGGTCAATTTATACAATAAAATTGTATAACCCTTATTAATAACATCCATAGTGTCAATAGTAAATGGATAGTAAACCTGGTGTTGTCGTGGATGACTTAATACTAGAAAATTGTTGGTCCAGGGCATAATTTCAATGCTAAGCAAGCTTGTCATAGCGCTTAAATTATCATGTTGATTTTCAATTAAATATTTATCATCATTATCACTGCTATAACTATTATTATTATTGTAATTTTTAATTTGTGAAAATAATGTTATACAAAAATAATTGCCATCAATTGAATATCTAATATCAGCAATTTGTTGACAATCAATAGTATTATTATTATTATTATTATTAGTAAAATATTTAGTTTTTAATACAGTGCATACAATTTTCTGGATGTTCAACATTTCAAATTGTTCACCAATTGTTTTTTTATCAAACACTGTATTATTATTATTATTAATTTTATATGAATTATTTAGAAAATTTTGTTTATCCGCACAAATGGTTATTCCCGGCAATGATAGACTCGGTTTGCGTTCATAATTAACATTAGTTATTGTTTCGTATGATAGATACAGTTGTGTAATATATCCTAAATGAATAAAACAGCCAATCGATGAAATTATTATAATTACAATTTTAGTTTTATCAATTGTTGCCATTTTTAAATATACTGTATATATATATATATATATAAAGTACTGTATTATTGATATGAAATATAATTTTTTAAAAATTAATCAAGTATTTGAAATTAAGTATTGTATGTATTTTACTTTTATACAACTATATAAATATACTGACTATTATTGTTTTTTTTAAATTATTATTATAAACAATTTTTTACGATTATTGATTTAAAGATAATTGTATTGATTGCTAATGTCTATTAAATGTCTAATACTTAGTATAATTAATATTATTTCTAGTTAACATAATTTTATTCATATAAATACTGTATATGATATATTACTGTGGCTAAAAAATTTCGAGACAAACAGAAATATCAAACTTTACGTAATATCTGTACGGCCCCTGTCTTTGTTGACAAATTGATTTGAAGTCTAATCAGTTGTAAATATATTTGTTTTCATTTGTGACCAACTGTTTTTGTGATGTCTTCAGAGATGAAAGTGGTAGAGGGCTTGTCATCAAGAGATCCACATATTCGTAATGTCATGCTTTACGAATATCGTCGCGGATCAACTGCATCAGAGACACTGAAGAATATCAATGAAGTGTATCCAAATGCTGTGTCAAGAAGTAGGGTATACGAGTGGTTTCAGCGATTTAACTCTGGAGACTATTCTTTGGAAGACAAAGAAAGATCGGGTGCGCCACCAAAGGTTGATAACGATGTCCTCAGTTACCTGATAGAGGAAGACCCGAAGATGAGTACCAGAGAGATTGGTCAACTATTTGAGGTCAATCACCAAACAATTATCAATCACTTGGGATTGATTGGGAAGAGATATTTGGCAGGTGTTTGGGTGCCTCATGAGCTGACACCCGCACAAAAGGCTCAACGGGTTACCATTTGCCAATCACTGCTTTCTCGTAACCGAAGAGAACCGTTTCTTCATCGAATTGTCACTGGTGATGAAAAATGGGTACTATATGTTAATGTGACACTGAAAGGCCAATGGCGAAGTATAGGACAAGCACCAATTCCGACTGTAAGACCCGATATTCATCAGCGGAAGGTTATGCTATGTATTTGGTGGTGTACTAAAGGTGTCGCCCATTGGGAACTGTTGGACATTGGCCAAACATTAGATAGTATAGTCTATTGTCGACAACTCGAAGATTTACAGACATCTTTACTTCGAAAATACAGAAATTTGGTTAAAAGAAGTGGTGTTATGTTCCATCAGGATAATGCTAGACCACATGTTTCTAATATCACCCGCCAAAAGTTGGAAACACTTGAATGGGAAGTTATGCCACACCCACCGTATAGCCCAGATATCGCACCGTCTGACTACCATTTGTTCCGGTCTTTGCAGCACTTCTTGGACGGCAAACGTTTCAATAACAAAGAGTCGGTAGAAACTGCCATCAATGACTATTTGGCCAATAAAGACGAAGACTTCTTCAGCAGAGGTATCAATCAGTTACCAATCAGATGGCAGAAGATTATCGAAAAAGAAGGCGAATATTTGATCAATCAAGACTTTGACATAGATGAATAAAATGATTTTTAAAAATTGTACATGTTTGTCTCGAAATTTTTTAGCCAGAGTAATATATATATATACAGTATATATATATATATATATATATATATATATAAAAAAAATAATATTCATTAAATCTATTTATAATAAAATTTGTTGTTTTCAAACTATAATTATTCATTTAAATAATATATTAATAATTATGCTAATTGTTTTATTTTTGTTATTATAGTTCATGACATCGTAAAAAAATTATAATTATAGTCATAAAAAATTATTTATAAATAAAAAAAACAATATTATTTCAATTAATTTTGTTATACATTTATTGATTAACCTAAATTTAATTATTATAAACTTGTTTATCAAAAATAATAAATTTCAGTAAAAAACATAATAACAACTAAATAATAATAAAACTAAGAAATAATATATTTAGTATAAATTATTGATTTTATTATTTTATATATATTTAATCAGTTAAATATATAAACTTTTTTTTAATAGTTTTATTAGTAAATATGTAATTATTTTTATAATTATATGTTTACTAATTTGTCCTAAATTATCATTAAATGTACAAAAATATTTATAATTAATTGTATAAATAATTATTAATTTAAATAATAATATCATATGATTTTAACAACAATCTTATAGTTTATTAAACATTATTTTTTAAATAAAAATTTTTGAAATTTTTGGCCACATTTGTTATAAATTCATTCAATTCAAGTACAGCACCGCCTTTATTGGTAAACACTGTGCCGACAATGTATTCATTGGGAAACAGTGTTAACTGTGTTGAAGTACCGGGAAGTCCACCTGAGTGTCCGACAACCAGTTTGTATGGATAGCTTGAATTCATATTGTAAACTGTCCATTGTTTTCCTAATAATAATAATAATTGAAAAATAAATCAACAAAAAAATATTGATTTAATAAATATATTTTATAAAAAACATTTGTATTATAAAAATAAATATATTCAAAAAAAATAATAATTTAGTTTTAGTTACCGTAATCTGAATTATATTTAGGTTTAATTATGTCAAGTGTTTCGGGTTTCCATAACTCTTTGATTGTCGATTGGCTTATAATTGCTAAAAATTAATATACAGTATATTATATATTAAATATAATTAAGTTTATTAATAATAATTATAATATTTTTTCGTAATAATTGTTACATACATTGATCAGTTCCGTGATAGGCATCAATCATTGTGTTGCCAAACCTTAACATATCGGTAACAGTTGATAGTATACCACCTGATGGCCACCAGCCCTCATAGCTAACCATATCATCAATTAGATCGCTATTTTGTAAAACTGATGGCTTATTGGGTACTGAAGAGTAATATCTGGGTCTATGTTTGACTAGATTTTCATGCTTTTCAATGACAGTTGAATTCATACCGATTTTAGCAAACAGTTTCTGCATTTCATCGACAAAATTAGTTTTTAGTATTGACTCTATGATAGCACCGACCACTTGAATACCATAATTAGAGTATTTATAATCAGTTCCCGGTTTAAAAAGTAACGGTTCGTTGTTAAACAAACTAATCATTTGTGTAACGTTTGTTGACTTAAAAAATTTACTAAAATCTTTGGTAATGTCCGTTATGTGTAGGCCAGCCATATGTGACATCAGTAGTCTAAGTGTTAGCTTATATTCAGTGCCATTGTATCGGTGAATAGGAAACAAACTGAGCGGCAAATAGTCGTTAATAGGTTTGTCCAAATCGACCAATTTTTTATCAATTAGTTGACCCACTAGTACTGATGTAACCGGTTTACTAATACTACACAATCGCCACGGGCTGTCCACATGTGTGGGCACATTGTTTTCAATGTCCGACAAACCGAAACTATCGGACCAAACAGTTTTGCCTTTAATACTGAACGCTACTATAGCTCCGGGAATAGTTTTATTGGCCATAATTGTCAGCAGCTGTTTGCGGGCATCACTGATCACATCATTAATATTTGTATAATTTTTGTCGACATCAAAGTGTTGCCAATTTAGTGGACTAATACTATTGAAATTTTCAAACAGACCGCTACATATTAGTGATATTGAAATATTAATTAATATTATTAATAATAATTTTGAAAACATTTTATTTAAAAAAAAAATATTTTTATTTAAAACTTAAGTTAATTATATTTTATTTTAACTTATGTTACTATAGTTTATATACTATTATTTTTTCTAAAAATATATAAATTAATCTTGTTAAGATAATATTTTTTTATTAATTATTAACTTTATAATCTTATCACATGTATATACTTGACATTTATACTAAAGTACTAATTATCATTAATAATATTATTACTTAATATATAGATATTTATAATGTTAAATCTTGATAATTATTTTCGTATTTTAAATTAATTTTTTATTGTATAATCAATTTTTAAATAAAGTTTAGTGATATACTGAATGTACTGACTATTTTATTTTGTATTCAATTATTTTTTAATAGTTATTATAATTTTAGCCATATATAATATATACTGAATATTAGAAAAATAAAATTCAATATAATACCCTATATTTATAAATGCAATATAATAATTTTTATTAATAATATGCAAAACAATTATGTTAATTATTTTTTAGTTGTTAATTGTATTTATGATATCAAAACATTTACTATAATTATAATTATTTATATAATTATATTTATTAATATACATGTAAAAAACAATTAATTATTTTTATAATATTTTTATTAAATATTTAGTGATATTTATTAAAATGATAATTAACAATTATAACATTAAAAACAAAACAATTTTATATAAAACAAAAGTATTGATTGATTAATATTATTTTTTTTTTATTGAATGAAATTTGCCATAAAGTTTACATTCATGTTATATACGGCCCATTATTTTGCTAAATAGACAAACAAATTATTTAATAAATTATTTATAAGAATAACTATTTAATATATTTAACAATAAAATTTATATATATATTAAGTTTAATAATAAGTTATTTTATTAACTAAATTACATTAATTAAATGCGAGCACAACTTTTCTTTTTGCAAAACTATTATTATTATTATTAGTAATAGTATTAATATTATTATTATTATTTAAATTATTATTATCATTGTTATTAATATTACTATTATTATCATCATTGACATCATTGACATTATTAACATTAACAATAGTATTATTATTAATTTTATTTAACTCTATGATGGGTTCAATATGTATTTGATGGCACAGGTAGATTTTATTAATATGAATATTAGTCAATGATTTTATAACAAATATTAATATTTTATTAGATAACTTGTAAACAGTAAATCCAGACCATAGACTAATAATACTACCAATTAATACAAGATATTCAATAAAATAAAATTTTGGTATTTGTGTGAAAACAAATGTCGGTTCCGGTGAATAATATAAGTTAATCACTGGTTTTTTAGATAATATATATGAAAATGTTTTATATTTATTAATTGAAAAATAGGTTTGTCTACAATATTGCCAATACTTACAATTCATACTACAATTGGCTTCAATTAAATCATATGTTGTGTTTTGATATATAGAAAACATTATATTATTAAAATTGATTTCATCTTTATATACTAATAGATAATCTGGATAAATTTTTAATTTATCAACAAAATATTGTACTATACACTTATTTATGCATTGTGTTTGATAAATATTTATATTACGATTATTATTATTATTATTATTATCAATACAATTTGATGAATACGGTGCTGGTAGCAAATTGATCTCGGTCAGTTTATACATTAAACATATTAAACCTTTATGATTGATATCCATATAATCGATAGTATATGGATAATAGATTTGTTCATATCGTGAATGTGTTAATAGTATCAAAGTGTCGGAAACGGGAATATTTATTAGGCTTAACAATGTTGTCGTAGCGCTTAGATTATCACGATTTGCAATCAAATATTTATCATTTTTCCCAACATTAGTAGTACTACTACTACTACTAGTAGTAGTAGTATTATTATTATTATTATTATTATTATCATAAATATCATTGATTGATAATTGTGAAAACAATGTCATACATAAATGTTTACCATCTAATGAATATCTAATATCGGAAATTTGTTTGCAATCAATATATAATGTATTCAAATAACTAATAAAATATCTAGTATTCAATACTTTGCATTTAATATTTTCAATTTCAAACATTTTCCATTGTTCACCAATTGTTTTATTTTCAAACAATAACTCATTATTATTATTATTTGATTTAATTTTATAATCACTACTCAAAAAATTTAGTTTATCCGTACAAATGGTTAAACCCGGTAATGATATACTGTGTTTGCGTTCAAAATTAACATTAGTTGTTGTTTCATAGGATAGATACAGTTGTGTTATATTTGATAAATGTATTATACAACCAATTGATGTCAACAATATTATTGCTATTTTACTTTTATCAATTGCCATTTTAATATATATATATGATAAAATATACTGTATAATTATTAATTTTTTGTTTGTTTGTTGATTTTATAAATAATATAAATATTGTAATTTACTATAAATACAATAATAATAAAATATAATAACACTATGCTTTTTTTTAACACAATAATATTTATTTAATTGTAATAAATTAAATATTAAATATTTAGAATTTACAATATTTTTTTTTAAAAAAATATTAAATACAAAACTTATATATTAAATATAATAATGTTTGCTATTATTAGTATTATTATTATAAAAAATAATTGTTTTAATATTGACTTAATAGCTAATACATATAATACTAAATTTTTTAACTTTTCTATTTGAGCTTAAATTATTTTATTTTTAAAAATATTATTCATTAACAATAATATATTTTAATGCATTTTAATAATTTACAAAAAATAATAAATCTAATTTATTAATTATTTTAATTGAATTTATGCATAATTATGTTAATAGCAATAGTTGTTATACTGGCTATAATAAGCAATTATTAGGAAATATATTTATATAATTCTAGAAATTAATAATAATAGTGGAAAAAAACTAATCTATTTTATAACGATTACGTTTTGATATACATTTAGTAATTGATTGTACTGTATATTACTAATTAATTATTTTACTTTTAAAATGATAATTATCACTAAACAACATTAATAACAAACATGATTATGTACTATAATTAGTGATCACATCATCAAAAAAATTTTTTCAATAATTTTAAATGTCATAAAAGTGATGTAAATTTTGTGCAATAATTTTATTTAAAAAATTTCTAACTGACCTTTACTTTGAATAATATTAAAATATTAATTTTTTCTTTGTTTGAAAACATTTTTGTAACTAAAAATTAATACTATTAATTTTTTTTATTATATATATTTATTAAGTTTATTTTCAAAATTTATAACATTTATAACAAAAATTTATATATATATATATATAATATAAATAGATATAATAATAGTGATTGCTATTATTTTTTTTAATAAGTGAAGTTTTTTTTAAAAAAAAAATTTAATCGTAAATTGTGCATGCTGTATACTATCAATAATTTTATTAACAAAATAATAAGCAAACAGATAAACTATTAAATGATTTTTTTTTTGAAAAATATTTAATTATAAATAATTTTATTTATTAATTTATTTTAATTAAATGCGTTCATAACTTTTCTTTTTGCTATTAAAGTTTTATTATTATTATTATTAATATTTCTATTATTATTGTTGACATTATTATAATTAACAATAATATTGTGTAACTCTATTTTGGGTTCAATATGTATGTTTGGACACAAATTGATTGTATTATTATAAATATTACAAAATAATTTTATAAAAATTAATAATGTATTTTTTGATAAGTTATAAACAGTAAATCCAGACCATAGACTAATAATACTACCAATTAATACAAGATATTCAATAAAATATAATTTTGCTGTTTGTGTGAACACAAATGTCGGTTCCGGTGAATATAGTAAAGCAATTGTAGTTTTATTGATATCAATATATAAATCGGTTATATATTTATTAATTGTTAGATAGGTTTGACTACATTGTTGCCAATATTTGCATTGTTTGCTACAATTGGGTGCAATTTTATCAATTAATGTATAGTTTTCGTAATAGGAAAACCATGAATTATAATAATTTATATCATCTGTATAAACTAATTGATATTCAGGATATAAATTAAAATTTTTAATCATATAATTTTTAATACACTCATCCAGGCATTGATATTGATTTAAATTATTATTTTTATTATTATTATTATTATTATTATTATTATTATTATTATTATCAGCAATACATTTTGATGGATACGGAGCAGGTAGTAAATTGATCTCGGTCAATTTATACATTAGACTAGTATAACCATTATTCTGGGCAACAATAAAGTCCATAATAAATGGATAGGAAATTTTTTGATGGCGTGGGTGTGTTAATATTACAAATTTATTGCAATGGGCCATAACCGTTAGACTAACCAATATGGTTCCAGCATTAAACTGATCATTGTGATTAGCAATTAGATATTTATCATCATCATTACTATTACTATTACTAAGATTATTGTTATTTTTATTATTATTTAGTTTATTATCAGCTAATAATAATTGTGAAAATATTGTAAAACATAGGTATTGACTATTGATTGAATATTTAATATCGGCAATTTGATTACAATTAATAGTATCATTCATATTATTATTATCAAAATATTTAGTTGTCAATACATTGCATTCAATTTCTTTTATGTCCAACATTTTCAATTGTTGACCAATTGTTTTATTATCAAAAACCATATTATTATCAAAAGTTTTATTATTATTAATTTTAAATGAATTACTTAAAAAATTCTGTTTATCCATACAAACGGTTATTCCCGGCAATGATAGACTCAGTTTGCGTTCATAATTAATATTAGTCACTGTTTCGTATGATAGATACAGTTGTGTTATATATAATAAATGTATAATACAGCCAATCGATGAAATTATTATTATAAGTATTTTCAATTTTTCAATTGCCATATTTAATAAAAAAAAATTATTATACTTTATAATTATTAATTTATATATATATATGTTGTTTGTAGTAATTTTACAAATACAATAAATTACTGATAAATGTTTTATAACAATATAAATACAGTTAACCTGATTTAATATTTTTATATTTATAAAAATATATATTTTGAAAAAATATTTTGAATATTAACGACAAAACTAATATAAATATATTGCTTAATACAAGTTTGCTATAAATATAACATAAAAACTAATTGTTGATATCGTTTAAGTATATTAAAAATCTAATTTATATGTATTACTAATTTTATTAATTTAATTATTTAATCTAATTAGCATCAAATATATTTATAATATACTAAATGGATTTTAATAATTTACAACAAAAAATAATTATACTAATTTAAATTTATGTTAATTGACTTTATATAATGAAAATATTTATTTATATCAAATAGTAAAAGTAGTTTTGTGACAAAAAAAACAAATTAATGAGTATTGTTAATAAATATTAATATTTTAGATTTACAATAATTAATTGAAAAAAACTAATCTATAGTATATTATAACAATTAGTTTTTTTTCGTTATATTTAATTATTTTAGTTGTTTATCAAAATGATAATTATCAGTAAACAACATTAGATCAAAATATAATAAAAAAAATAATGACAAAAAAGTAATGATATTATTTAATTTAAGATAAAAATTATTTTATTTTCTTTTTTTTTGAATTATTGGTAAGTTTAGGCTATAAGTATAATATAAATTAATAATTTAATATATATAAGCTTTATAATTAGCCAAAGTTTAGCCATTAATTAACTTTTATTGTTAATTTAAATAAAGTTTTTCAATTTTTCCGCTACCCGTGCAATAAAGTCAGGCAATACAGTGACATAGCCTTTATTGGTAAACACTGTACCGACAATGTATTCATTGGGAAACAGTGTTAACTGTGTTGATGTACCCATAATACCGCCGGCATGTCCTACAACCAGTTTATACGGATAGCTTGAATTCATTTTATAAATCATCCATTGTTTTCCTATTAAATAAATTTAAAATAAAATGACATAAAAAAATTAGAAACTATAAAAACAATTTTAAATATAATTTATAATTAATTTATTTTCATACCATAATCAAAATGAAGTTGTGGTATAATTATGCTAACAGTTTCGGGTTTCCATAACTCTTTGATTGTCAATTGACTAACTATTGCTATCAAAAATAATAATAATAATAATTAATTTATAAATTTTAAATACTAAACAATTTAAAATTATAAAATAAATGTTTATATTTGTTTGTTTTTTTTTAAAAAAATACATACATTGATCAGTTCCGTGATAGGCATCAATCATTAAATTGCCAAACCTTAACATATCGGTAACAGTTGATAGTATACCACCCGATGGCCAATAGCCCTCATAAAACCAAACATCATCAGTCAGATCGCTATTTTGTAGTACAGTTGGCTTATCAGGTAATGCCGTGTAATATCTGGGTCTATGTTTGACTAGATTTTCATGTAATTCCATAACAGTTGAATTCAAACCAATTTTAGCAAACAGTTTATGCATTTCATCGACAAAATTAGTTTCGAGTATTGACTCAATGATAGCACCGACCAATTGTATGCCATAATTAGAGTATCGCCAATCGGTTCCCGGTTTATAAAGTAACGGTTCGTTATTAAACAATCTAATCATTTGTGTTATATTTGTTGCTTTAAAAAACTTTTGAAAATCTTTGGATACATCCGACACATGTAGGCCAGCCGTATGTGACATCAATTGTCTAAGTGTTAGCTTATAATCAGTACCATTGTATCGATGTATAGGAAACAAACTGAGCGGCAAATAGTTGTCAATAGGTTTATCTAAATCCAGCAATTTTTTCTCTAATAGCTGACCGACCAGTACTGATGTAATAGCTTTACTAATACTACACAATCTCCACATACTGTCCACATGTGTGGTTACATTGTTTTCAATGTCAGCCAAACCGAAACTCTCGGACCAAACAGTTTTGCCTTTAATACTGAACGCCACTACAGCTCCGGGAATCGATTGGTTGGTCAACAATAACTGCAACTCTTTACGGGCATCACTGATCACATCATCAATATTTGTATAATTTTTGTGTACATCAAAGTGTTGCCATTTTTGGACATCAATTAGTTGTTGTCGAAAATTTTCTAACTGACCACTAGATAGTGATATTAGTGTATTAGTTATAATAAACAATTTCAATATAATCGACATTGTAATTTTATAAATGAAACTAAAAAAATTTAAATGCTTTTTTAAAAATTTTATAACAAATAAATTGTTTTTTATATATACTAATGTTATTTATTAACAACAGTTACCTAAATAGTTATTTACACTTTAGCTACAAAATCAGTTTTTTTTTAATTATAGATTAGATATTATTTAATACATAACTATATTTTTTCATATAAGTAATATACTGTAGATTAAACTTGTTTTTTTGTTGTTAAAAATACTTGAAAATTAAAATGATAATTATCAATTAGTATGACATTAATAACAATTGAATAGAAAACTAAATGTTAGTTTATAATAAAAAAAATCATATTATATATACTGATATATTAATTTCAAATATATAATAATTACTTCATTGATGATTGTTTAACCAGTATTGCCTCCACAACTAACTGTTATTATTAGTTAGATATTTATTAATTATCAATAAAATACTTTTAAAGTACATTTGGGTTATCAGAGAAATTTGCACTTATAAATAATAAGATAAATAATTATATTAAATAATTGCAATATTATATATTGTAAATGTTTTGTTTTTTTTAAATATTTATTTATATACGTTAGTAAATGTACTAAATTAACAATAATTTGTTAAATATATTGTTGAAATAGATTAATAAATAAATAGTTTATATTTTTTAATTAAGATATTACAATATAAACTATTAATATTTTCAAAATAAAAAAAAATAATCAAATATTTTGTGTGTTTTTTTTTAAATTTTTTGTATATAAATTATAAGATATTAATTAGACAAATAAAATACTGATTTTTAAAAATATAAATTGAAAGTATTTAAAAGTTAAAAAGTAAATGAATATAATTTAATTTAATAAAAATAATAGAAAGGTCTTGCAAGACGGGACAGGACGTGATTTTGAACTCAACTTATATCAGTAATTTAAACAATTTGTTATTATTATTTTAAATAAAATATTTATTTATTATATTGAAATAGATAAAATTTAATAGATAACAAATACATACTAAAAAAAAAAAAATTAATAACATTTCATTTGAATACATTATTTTTTTTTATTAAACTAAAATAAAATCAATTATTATAAATTAGAACAATTTAATGGTTGATTTTTTCAAATTAAATTTTTTAATTTTTCAGCCACTTTTGCTATAAAGTCAGGCCATATAATAATACCTCCTTTATTGGCAAAACCTGTACCGACAATACGTTCATTGGGAAACAATGTTAACTGTGTTGATGTACCCAATAGACTACCTCCATGTCCTACAACCAGTTTGTACGGATAGCTAGCATTTGTATGATAAATCATCCATTGTTTTCCTTTATAAATAAATAAAAATTGAAAAATATTAAAATATATAATAATTTATAATTTAAATGTTAAAAGTTTTTTTTTGTTTATTTAAACTAAAAACAGTTACCATAATCTGCATTATATATCGGCGGTATATATTTGCCAATGGTTTCGGGTTTCCATAACTCTTTAATTGGTGATTGACTAACTATTGCTATAAATTATTTTTTTTAAACTTTATTAAAGATAATGTTTAGTAAAGATATCTATATAAATTAAATTTACATTGATCAGTTCCGTGATAGGCATCAATCATTGTGTTGCCAAACCTTAACATATCGGTAACAGTTGATAGTATACCACCGGCCGGCCACCAGCCCTCGTAGTTAAACATATCGTCAGTCAGATCGCTATTTTGGAGTACAGTTGGCTTATCGGGTAATGCAGAGTAATATCTGGGTCTATGTTTGAGTAGATTTTCATGTTTTTCCAAAACAGTTGAATTCATACCAATTTTAGCAAACAGTTTCGACATTTCATCGACAAAATTGTTTTTCAATACCGACTCTATAATAGCACCGACCACTTGAATGCCATAATTAGAGTAATCCCATTTGGTTCCCGGTTTAAAAAGCAAGGTTTGGTTGTCAAACAATTTTATCATTTGCGTAACATTTGTTGCTTTGAAAAATGGTGTCATATTATCGGTATATAATTTTATATAAACACCAGCCGTATGTGACATCAGTAGTCTAAGTGTTAGTTTATATTCAGTGCCATTGTATCGATGAATGGGAAACAAACTGAGCGGCAAATAGTCGTTAATAGGTTTGTCCAAATCCAACAGTTTTTTGTCTAATAGCTGACCGACCAGTACTGATGTAACCGGTTTACTAATACTACACAATCTCCACGGACTGTCCACATGTGTGAGCACATTGTTCTCGATATCTGATAAACCAAAACTTTCCGACCAAACAGTTTTGCCTTTAATACTGAAAGCTACTACAGCTCCGGGAATTACATAGTTGTCCATCATTGCCCGCAACTCTTTACGGGCATCACTGATCACGTCATCAATTTTTGTATAATTTTTGTTGTCATCAAAGTGTTGCCACTTTTGAACACAAATTTGTTGTTCAAAGTTTTCTAACTGACCACTTGATAGTAATATCAGTGTATTAATTATATTAACAAATAGTAATAGTATTTTGCTTAAATTAAACATCATAAATAAACTAATTTAAATTAATTTTACTTTTAATTAATAAAAACTATTGATAATTAAAAATAAAATAATTAAATGACTACTCTATTTATACTATTTTTTTTGAAAAAATAAGAATAAAACTTTTATAAATTTATATCTGTTTATTTATAGATAACATTTAACTTTATTGGTTAAAAAATATGATCTAGGTGTTTACTTTGAAAATAAAACTAGATGCTAACTTTTAATAATAGAAATTATATTATATATATATATTTTAAATTTCAAATATAATTACCTCATTGATCTATTTAGAAATTAGAAATTAATTATTACAAAATTACAATATTAGTTAGATATTTATTAATTATCAATAAAAATATTTACTGTATTTTTTCTAAGTACATTTAGGTTATCATAAAAATTTACACTTATAAATAAAGATAAATAAATATATTAAATAATATATTTTTTTAAATATCTATTTATATATGTTAGTAACTGTACTAATTGACAATAATTTATTATTAATTATTTACAAAAAACAAATAGTTTATATTTTAAATGAAGTATTTATAATATAAACTACTAATATTTTCTATAAAAAATAAATTTAAAACAATAATATTAATATTACATTAATATCATTAATATAATAGTACAATTTGTACTACCATTAATATTTTTTTGTGTTTTTAATTATTTGTATAAATATATATATATATATATATATATATATAAATATTTTTATAAACATTAATATTAATTAGATAAAAAAATAAAATAAAAATACAGATTTTTTAAATTTATTTAAAAATTGATAAAAAGATTTAATTGAAATAAAGTATTTAAAATTTTAAAAAAGTAAACCAATTATAATATATATAATTTAATTTACTAAAAGTAATAGACATGTCTTGCAAGACGGGACAGGACGTGATTTTGAGATCAATTTAAACCAGTAATTCAAATAATTTTTATTATTATTATTTTAAATAAAGTATTTAATAAATTGAAAAGTATTCAATGTAATATATAACAAATGCATATTAAAAAATAAACAAATTAATAACATTTAATTGTATACACTATTTCTTTACTAAAAATTATTTTTCAATTATTATTAATTAAGACAATTTAATGGTTGATTTTTTTTCAAATAAAATTTTTAAATTTTTCAGCCACTTTTGCTATAAAGTCAGGCAATATAATAATACCTCCTTTATTGGTAAATACTGTACCGACAATGTGTTCATTGGGAAACAATGTTAACTGTGTTGATGTACCCAATAGACTACCTCCATGTCCTACAACCAGTTTGTACGGATAGCTAGCATTTGTATGATAAATCATCCATTGTTTTCCTTTATAAATAAATATTTAAATATATAATAAATAAAATTAAACTTTAAAAAAAACAGTTACCATAATCTGCATTATATATCGGAGGTATATATATGCCAATGGTTTCGGGTTTCCATAACTCTTTAATTGTTGATTGACTAACTATTGCTATAAATTATTAAAATTATTAAAAATATTAAAATTATTTTTTTAAAAATCATAAAATATACAGTTAATGTTTAGTAAAGATATGTATATAAATTAAATTTACATTGATCAGTTCCGTGATAGGCATCAATCATAGCATTGCCAAATCTTAACATATCGCCAACAGTGGACAGTACGCCACCGGCCGGCCACCAGCCCTCGTAGTTAAACAAATCGTCAATCAGATCGCTATTTTGTAGTACAGTTGGCTTATCGGGTAATGCAGAGTAATATCTGGGTCTATGTTTGACTAGATTTTCGTGTTTTTCCAACGAAGTTAAATTCATACCAATTTTGGCAAATAGTTTTGGCATTTCATCGACAAAATTGCTGTTCAATACCGACTCTACGATAGCACCGACCACTTGAATACCATAATTAGAGTATAGCCAACCGGTTCCCGGTTTAAATATCAATGGTTCGTTGTTAAACTGTTTGATAGTTTGCGTAACATTTGTTGCTTTAAAAAATCTATGGAAATCATCGGGAATTGCCGTTACGTGAAGACCAGCCTTATGTGACATTAATAGCCTAAGTGTTAGATTATAATCAATATCTTTGTATCGATGAATAGGAAACAAACTGAGCGGCAAATAGTTGTCAATATGTTTGTCCAAATCCAGCAGTTTTTTGTCTAATAGCTGACCGACCAGTGCTGATGTAACCGGTTTACTAATACTACACAATCTCCACGGACTATCTACATGTGTGGACACATTGTTCTCGATATCAGACAAACCAAAACTCTCGGACCAAACAGTTTTGCCTTTAATACTGAACGCTACTACAGCTCCGGGAATTACATAGTTGTTGATCAATGCCCGCAACTCTTTACGGGCATCACTGATCACGTCATCAATTTTTGTATAATTTTTGTTGTCATCAAAGTGTTGCCACTTTTGAACACAAATTTGTTGTTCAAAGTTTTCTAACTGACCACTTGATAGTAATATCAGTGTATTAATTATATTAATAAATAGTAATAGTATTTTGCTTAAATTAAACATTATAAAAAAATTAATTTAAAGTAATTTTACTTTTAATTAATAAAAACTATTGATAATTATAAATTAAATAATTAACTCAATGCTCTATTTATACTAGATTTTTTTTTAAAAATAAGCATAAAACTTTTATAAACTTATATCAGTTTATTTTGATAACATTTAACTTTTATTATTGAGTTAAATACAGTATGATCTAGGTGTTTACTTTGAAACTATGATTTTTATGCTCAAGGTCTAATTATTAATATTATCATTTTAAAATAAGTATATACAGTATATATAATAAATGATAATTTTAATGATTTATTTTTTTTTTGATATAAGTTCTTATTAATTTTTTTTAGATAAATCAATTTAATTAATTGCAAGTAAAAAACATTTATTATAATAAAATTATTATTATTATTGTTGTTATTGTAGTTTTTTTTGTTGTACTGTAGTTAATAATTTTGATTACAAACTACTATCAAATACTAAAAAACAATACAAACTATTAAATTAAATATTTTTTTACCTTTATAATATAATAATATAGGTTTTAATATTTTATATAAAAGCAAATTAATAATCCAGATATAAAATAATTAATTTAATATTTTCTAATATTTATTTATTTATAGAATACAACTAATTTTAGTTATATTATTAAAAATTTTTGAATAATTTTTAAAATAATAAATAATAATCATATTTTTTTTGGTTAAAATATATTAATTTTTTTGTTGAAATTTTAATCATTATTATTTTTTCAGATAAAATTTTTAAAATTTCCAGCTACTTGTGCAATATAGTCAGGCAATACTAGTAGACTGCCTTTATTGGTAAATATTGTACCGACAATGTGTTCATTGGGAAACAATGTTAACTGTGTTGATGTACCCAATAGGCCACCCGAGTGTCCGACAGCCAGTTTGTATGGATAGCATGAATTCATATTATATACGACCCATTGTTTTGCTAAATATTTATAATTAATTAAAAACAATATATAATAACTATATATATTATATTTATTTATATGTTAAAATAATTACCGTAATCTTTATGGAGTTCCGGTTTTATTTTGCCAACAGTTTCCGGTTTCCATAACTCTTTAATTGTCGATTGGCTTACGATTGCTTAATAAAAAAAATTAACAGTTATTAATGTATACACTAGTGCTTAGTATCTATTAAGTTATAATTAATGAATATTATAATCATTTTTTTATACATTGATCAGTTCCGTGATAGGCATCAACCATTGTGTTGCCAAACCTTAACATATCGGTAACAGTTGATAGTATACCACCGGCCGGCCACCAGCCCTCGTAGTTAAACATATCGTCAATCAGATCACTAGTTTGAAGTACAGTTGGCTTATCAGGTGATGCAGAGTAATATCTGGGTCTATGTTTGAGTAGATTTTCATGTTTTTCAATAACAGTTGAATTCATACCAATTTTAGCAAACAGTTTCGACATTTCATCGACAAAATTAGTTTTGAGTATTGACTCTATGATAGCACCGACCACTTGAATACCATAATTAGAGTAATCCCATTTGGTTCCCGGTTTGTAGAGCAACGGTTCGTTATTAAACAAACTAATCATTTGTGTGACATTTGTTGCCTTAAAAAAACTACCGAAATCATCGGGAAGTGCCGTTACGTGTAGACCAGCCATATGTGACATCAGTAGTCTCAGTGTTAGCTTATATTCAGTGCCATTGTATCGATGAATAGGAAACAAACTGATCGGCAAATAGTCGTTAATAGGTTTGTCCAGATCTAAGAGTTTTTTGTCTATTAGTTGACCGACTAGTGCTGATGTAACCGTTTTGCTAATACTACACAATCTCCACGGACTGTCCACATGTGTGGGCACATTGTTCTCGATATCTGATAAACCAAAACTCTCGGACCAAACAGTTTTGCCTTTAATACTAAAGGCCACTATAGCTCCTGGTATTACGTAGTTGTCCATCAATGCCCGCAACTCTTTACGGGCATCACTGATCACGTCATCAATTTTTGTATAATTTTTGTTTTCATCAAAATGTTGCCACTTTTGAACATCAATTTGTTGTTCAAAGTTTTCTAACTGACCATTTGATAATAATATTAGTGTATTAATTATATTAATAAATAGTAATAGTATTTTGCTTAAATTAAACATCATTAAAAACTAATTTAAACTAAATTTTTTTCTTTTAATTAATAAAAACTATTGATAATTAAAAATAAAATAATTAAAAATAAAATAATTAAATGACTACTCTATTTATACTAGTTTAAAAAAATAAGCATAAAACTTGTATAAAACTTATATCTGTTTATTTAGATAACATAGATAACTTTATTTGTTAAGTATGATCTAGGTGTTTACTTTGAAACTAACGATTTTTTTTGTGCTCAAGGTCTAATTATTAATATTATCATGTTAAAGTAAGTATAAATATATACAGTATAATAAATTGATATTATTGTTTTAATTTGATTTTAAATTTTATTTTTGATATAAGTTCTTATTAGTTTTTTTTAGATAAATCAATTAAATTTATTGCAAGTTAAATATTTGTTTTTTTATAAAATATAACTATTATTATTATTGTTATTATGAGTAGTTTTAGTTTTAGTAGTAGTTTTACTGTAGTTAATAATTTTGATCGCAAACTACTAAAAAAACGTTTTTATATATAAAAAAATCCGGATTTAAAATAATTAATTAACGTTTTCTAATATTTATTTACAGAATAACTAATTTAGTTGTATTATAAAAATTTTTTAAACATTATTTTTAATATAGTAAATCAAAAACAAATTAATCATATTTTTGTTGTTTAAATTATTTTAATATTTTAATTATTATTATTTTTCAGATAAAATTTTTGAAATTTCCAGCTACTTGTGTAATATAGTCAGGCAATGCTAGGAGACTGCCTTTATTGGTGAATACTGTACCGACAATACGTTCATTGGGAAACAATGTTAACTGTGTTGATGTACCCAATAGGCCACCCGAGTGTCCGACAGCCAGTTTGTATGGATAGCTAGCATTCATATAATATACGACCCATTGTTTTGCTAAAATATTAATAATAATAAATTAAATACAATAAACTTTTTTTAAACACAATATATAATAACTATATACAGTATATTATATTTATTTAGATGTTATAATAATTACCGTAATCTGAATGAAATTCCGGTTTAATTTTGCCAACAGTTTCCGGTTTCCATAACTCTTTAATTGTCGATTGGCTTACGATTGCTTAATAAAAAAAATTAACAGTTATTAATGTATACACTAGTGCTTAGTATCTATTAAGTTATAATTATTTAATATTATAATCATTTTTTTATACATTGATCAGTTCCGTGATAGGCATCAATCAATGTGTTGCCAAATCTTAACATATCGGTAACAGTTGATAGTATACCACCGGCCGGCCACCAGCCCTCGTAGTTAAACATATCGTCAATGAGATCACTAGTTTGCAGTACAGTTGGCTTATCAGGTGATGCAGAGTAATATCTGGGTCTATGTTTGAGTAGATTTTCATGTTTTTCAATAACAGTTGAATTCATACCAATTTTAGCAAACAGTTTCGGCATTTCATCGACAAAATTAGTTTTGAGTATTGACTCTATGATAGCACCGACCACTTGAATACCATAGTTAGAGTATCGCATTTCGGTTCCCGGTTTGTAGAGCAACGGTTCGTTGTTAAACAAACTAATCATTTGCGTAACATTAGTTGCCTTAAAAAATTTACTAAAATCGTCGGGAACTGCCGTTACATGTAGGCCAGCCATATGTGACATCAGTAGTCTCAGTGTTAGCTTATAATCAGTATCTTTGTATCGATGAATAGGAAACAAACTGAGCGGCAAATAGTTGTCAATAGGTTTATCTAAATCCAACAATTTTTTCTCTAATAGCTGACCGACCAGTACTGATGTAACCGGTTTACTAATACTACACAATCTCCACGGACTGTCTACATGTGTCGGCACATTGTTTTCAATGTCAGCTAAACCTAAACTTTCTGACCAAACAGTTTTGCCTTTAATACTGAATGCTACTACAGCTCCGGGAATCGATTGGTTGGCCATTAATGACAGTAACTCTTTGCGGGCATCACTGATCACGTCATCAATTTTTGTATAATTTTTGTTGATATCCAAGTGTTGATAATTTTGAAGACCAATTTGATTGAAATTTTCCAACTGACCACTACATTGTTGTATTAGTGTATTAGTGATAAATATTAATATAACTATTTTTAAATTTATCATTATTATTTGTTTAAAGTTTTATTTTTTAAAATAGTTGTTTTTTTAATATTTTAGTTTTTTTACTTTACTAATATTATTTTTTTTATAATATGTTACTTAAACATATACTAATAAATTATATACCAATTACCAATATATATATATATATATATATATATATATACACTGTATATACTGTAATATATATCAATTAGTTTATTTAGATAAAGTTATTTACTATATTTCAAATTGAATTCAAAGTTCAATTTAAATCAATTAATTATTTATAATCTACAATCAATGCACACTTGAAAATAATCATTAATAGTAAATAAAGTGTTTTGTTTTTAAAAATTTTTTACTATAACTAAAAATTTGAAATTTTATATATATAATTATTTTAATATTTTTATTTAGAAATTTATTATCCACACAAACAAAAATAAAAATAATTAAGATTAGCAACCAAAAAAAAAATATTTAGTTTATAATTTTATTTAAACAACCAGTGTACATTAGATTATTTAATCAAATATAAAATTATTATAGTTTATTATTTATTATTACAATAAAATAAAATTTATTTTGTTATTTAAAAAACAACTATAATTATGATATTTAATAGTATACAATAACAACATATAGTGGTTTAATATAATTTATAGACAACTTTTTTCAAACGTTTAGCCACACTCATTATATAATCAGGTAAAATAGTATAGGTAACATTACCTTGGTTCATTAGTACTGTTCCCACTATATTAGCCTTGTTATTATTATCATTGATATTATTATTATCGGGTAACAGTAGCAACTGTGTGGACGTACCCATTAGTGAACCACTGTGTCCGACAACCAAATCAAATGGATAGCCATGATTAGTGTTATAGATAAACCAAAATTTAGCTAGATTATTTTTGTTTGATGTTGTTATTTAATTATTAATTATTAGAAAAAAAATAATTTGTAAATTGTATTATTTATATTAATTTAAGTAATAATAATAATAATAATTACAATAATCTTTATTTTTCATATCAATTGGTTTGATTTTTCCAGTAGTTTCCGATTTCCATAACTCTCTGATCGTTGATTTGCAAATAATAGCTGTAAAATAATAATAATAATAATATTTTATATTATTTAATCATTTATTTATTTTTTAAAAATAAATAATTCATAGTTATCTGTAATATTTAATTAAATGTTTATTACATAATTATAATATAATATTTGTTATATACTGTACGTTAGATATGGAGTATTTCAAAAATAAATATTATTAAAATTATTACTAAACTAATTACTAAAATAAACTAAAATCACTAATAATTACAGTCATCGATGCCATGATAGGCGTCAATCAGTTTGTTGCCAAACACTAGCAAATCATTGGCAGTGGACAGTACACCGGTTGCCGTCCACCAGCCCTCGTAGTTATACATTTCATCGATAAGCTCACCGTTTTGAACGGGATTTGTCGACCCATACGGTGATAGTTCGTAATATTTTGGTCGATGCTTGACCAGTTGTTCGTGTCGTTCAATACGTGTTGAGCTCATACCTAACTGGACAAACAGTTTCTCAATTTCCACGGCATAGCTACTGTTGAGCACCTGTTCAACGACAGAGCCGACTACTTGCGAACCGTAGTTAGAGTATAGCCATTCGGTACCCGGTTTTACCAGCAATGGTTCCCTATTGAATAGGCCAATCATTTGGGTAACATTTGTGGCCCGAAAAAATTGCCGAAAATCGTCGGGATGTTTGGTCACATGAAGTCCGGCCAAATGTGACATCAATAGTCTCAGTGTTAACGTATAGTTAGTACCATTGTATTGATGAATAGGAAACAAATTCAGTGGCAAATAGTTGTTAATAGGTTTATCCAAATCGACAACTTTGCGCTCAAGTAGTTGTCCGATAAGTACCGATGCTATTGACTTACTAATACTGCATACACGCCACGGACTGTCCAAATGTGTCGGTACAGTGTTCTCGATATCTGCTAAACCCAAGCCCTCTGACCAAACAGTTTTGCCGTTCAAACTGAAGGCAACTACCGATCCGGGAACCGATAGGTTGGCCATCAATATTAGCAACTCTTTGCGGGCATCGATGATCACGTCGTCAATTGATGTATAGTTTTTATGGTCATAATTATGAATATTATGGATATTATTAGTAGTAGTATCTGTATAAGCAATACACATTGTATTCAATATACTAGTTGTTAATAATAGTTTTATACTAAAAATAAATGATTGCATTGTATATAAATAGATAGTATTTTTAATAAAATAAAATAATAATAAATTACTCTAATATTACAATTATTTTTTTTTAAATAATTTGTTGAATGTGATCTGATTTTTATACTAATTTATATAAACATGTGCTTAAATCTCATATACTTATTATTATTATATTGTATTTATTTAATAAACAATTTAATCTTTTTTATTGTTTTATATACCAAATTATTTTTTTGATATGATATAATTAGTACATTAAGTGTAGGATAAATGAGTTGTCATTTAATTTTTAATTGACTAACTAATTGAATATAGTTTTATTGAAATTTATTTTGACATTTTTTAATAAAAAAAAATTATAGACATTTACTTTATTTTTGGTTTTGTTTGTATGAAAATAACTATAACATATGTGTCAAAAAAATTATTGTAAACACTATATTACAGTGATTAACATTAAATGTTATAATGATAATACATTTATATTATTAATATTAATAATTTAAGAAATATTTTATAATTTTTAGTAACCAATGACTAAGATAAACTTTTTTAATTTTTTCAAAAAATATATATATAATTTAGTCGTCTCACTAATTCAATATAGTTTTGTTATTTATCATTAATAACATAAATATCATAAAATGTTAAAAAAAATTATTGACAATTATTGTTTAGTCATTAATTTTATGATAATAATGTGTATTGATATTAAAAACTTGTTCAATAAAATTGGTTAGTAATATAATTTAGTACCTCATGTAGTAGTAGTAGGACTTAAATATATATATATATATTTTTAACAAAAAAAAACTTTAAAAAAGTTTAGTTTAGTAAAAATCTCTATTTAATAGTATTTATTTAATATCTGTGTTAAAATTTTAATAAATATATTATTTAACAAAAAATGTTTGTTAAAATTATTAATTTTTTAATATTAGTATCAATACTATTATTAAGTTTATTAAATAATCAATTGATTCAATGTAACAGCGATATTGATTTATTGATTTTAAAAAATCACGATTTTATACGACAATTATATTCACATTTCAATAAAACTGATAATAGTTTAACTAAACAATGCAAACAAGTGGCCAACTATTTGGTTAAAAATAGTAACTCTACTGAACTAATTAAATGTATGTTAAAAAAATGATTTTTTTAATCACTAATAAATATTTATTTTTTTAAATAAATTAAAAACTAGTGATCGATTCGAGTGCAGTCATCGGCACCGGTATTATGAGTGGAAACTATCAATTTATGGGTCAATACAGTGAATGTTTGGATTTAAAGGCCAAGATTTTAATAGATAATCAATTATCAAAATTTAATGGTCAATATTGTACACTAAATATGCCGATTAATTATTTTTTAAAACCAGTAGATATTAAGGTAAATTATAATTAATAATAATAAAATTAGTTTTAAATAAATAATAATAAACAACAATAAATTATTAATTATTATTAAATTAATTGAAAAATAAGTTAGCAATTTATTATTATTATTATTATTATTATTGGTTATAACTATAAGTCAATGGATGATTTGAAGTCACCATCACTTGGTATTTGTATACCTAATGTTTGCAATCAACAAGATTTAGATAACATATTAAAATCATGTAATTATTTTTAATTAATATTTAATTATATTTAATTTATTATAAATTTAATTAATTTTTCAACTATATAATAATTGTATTATAATTTTATTCATTAAAAAGTTTCAAAAACAACTGGTATTCACTTATCTATTGAAAATTGTGGTGAAAATAAATATTATCCGTTTCAATGGTTTCACATATTTATTATGTTAGCATTTAGTTTTTTTTCATGTTTTTTGTGTTAAATTATAATTTATTAAAAATTTTATTTTATTTAATTTATCATTAAAAGATGTATCTTTTCTGCAATTGCTTTATTAACAATAATATCAACAATTATTGACGTTTACAATAAACAAGAAAGTATGTGGTATTTTGAATTTAAATTTATAATATTAAAAAAATAATAGTAATCATGAATAATATTTTTAAATAGATAAATATATAATGATTATTATATTTATATATTTATAAAATTTTTAATTAAAATTTATATTAATTATACTATATTATATACACATTATAATTTTTTAAATAATAGTATATATTAATTTATAAACAATAATTATCTTAACGTATTTTTAAAAAAAAATTATTTATTAATTATAGTTACAGTGTATATAAATTTATAAACAGTACGATATACTAGTAGAGTACATATTACATAATGTATTGATTTTTTAAAAAAAATAAAATAAAACTAACATTTATTTATTTATCGATAACATCAGTCAAATCAAAATGTTTACAATGTTTGTTGGCTTTTTCAATATCTACAAACACCCGTCAATTGTTGAGCACCGGTAGCCGACAACAACAACAACAACAACAAAACACTATTAATTGTTTTCACGGTTTACGTTTTTTATCAACATGTACAATTATATTGTATAATAGTAATGTACTGTTTACTACTATTAAACCAATTGGTAATATTAAGAATAACGTATTAATTATAAAAATAATATAAAATTTATTCATTTTTATTTTTTTAAATTAATTATAATATTTTTTAATACTAATTATTATATTTTTTAAAATTAATTATTTTATATTTTACTATGAATTACTTTATTTTTAATATTAATTATTCTTTCAAAATTAATTATTACATTTTTTAAAATTAATTATTATATTTTTTAAAAATATAGTAAATTTTCTATCAATCAATCTATTAAGTAAAAATATTTTGACACAACTACTAATTAATTCAAGCAATAGTGTCGACCTATTTCTAGTTATGTCCGGATTTTTGTGCGCTTATAATACCATCAGAGAAGTCAATAAATTAGAGTCGTTAAGAAAATATAATATTTTTAAAAAAATATTTCATCGATACCTGAGATTAACGCCATCGGTGTTAGCAGTGATTGGATTTTCAATTGCTGTCGAACCGCTAACTAGTGGTCCCATTTGGCACCGGTATGTAGAAGAATCAGTCCGTACCTGTCATCAATATTTCTGGAAACAATTATTATATATTAATAATTTTTTATTTACGCGGGTATGTAATTATAATATTTAATTTATTGATATATATTAAACAAAAACCTATTCAAACACTAATCATATTAATTATTTTAAGTAGTTTTAAAAATTATATATTAGATATAAATAAGATTTAATACATTAGTTTTAGTTTAGTTTTATAATTGGTATATATATTAATATAGATACCAATTATAAACTATACTAAAACAATATATATATATATTGGTAAAATATATTAATATAATTAATTTTAAAATTAGTGTTTGGATCATACCTGGTATCTATCAGCTGATATGCAACTATTTTTAGTGTCACCAATTTTTACCATATTATTAGGATGCAAACAAATTAGGTAAAGTATTCAACTAAAATTTATAGTATAAGTGCATATTTAACCAAACATACACACACATACACACACACACATACACACACATACACACACACATACACACACATACACACACATACACACACATACACACACATACACATACATACACACATATACACACACATACACTCATATATATATATACACATACATATATTTATAGAAAACATTATTTAGGTATTGGCATCAATGTGTTGGCAATAATTATTAGTTGGATTGTTATCGCTTATTATTTAGGCAAATATCATGATCCACCAGTTTTTATTTATGGACACAAGTAATTAAATATTTTTCAAAAAATACTATTAATTATTAATTAATTATTATTATTATTCTAATTTTCAGACAGTTTATATATACAGTAAAAATTTATGTGACATCCTATTGTCGATTTGGTTCATATAATATGGGTATACTTATGGCATACGTTTATATTAAACATAAATTTATATTTAACCCGGTTAGTTGTATTATATAAATATATAGATACATAATTAAGATTGAATTTAAATTTATTTTTTTAATTAGTTATACTAGTTATTATAATAATTACATAATTATTTTGAAACTTTTAATTAAAATTTCTAATTATTCTAACTATATTTGATTAGACAAAAATATTAATCAATAATACTAAAAGTTTTTTTGTTGTGTAAATTAGTGTATATTAACTAACATTTTTTTAATTATTAATTTTTTATGACCGAAAATAATTTTTTCAAAAAATAACAATAATATTAATGGCATAATAATAATAATAACTTAAAACAACAAAAATCATAAACTGTCTAAACATACAAAAAATAGTTAATAAATAAAATTCTATGGTTGCTATGTATTTGTAACCTATTGGCCATATATTTGGTACCATATGTTTGGACAATTGGCTACAGTTACGACAATGTTGGCAGCATTATCTACGCTACACTACATCATACACTACTTGGACTAGGCTGGGCCTATATCATGTATAGCTGTGCCATTGGCCAGGGAGGTCAGATGAATCGGCTGCTATCGTGGCCAGTATTTGTACCGTTTAGTAGGCTATCGTATCAGTTATATCTCTATCATTATGTGATTATCAAGCTTTTCATGTTATCAACTGAACAACCAATTTATTATAATATAACGGAAGTGGTTTGTAAAGAAAAAAATTAGAAAAAATATAACAGTTTTATAAAATAATAATTATTTTTAATTCAAGTTTTTATCATTTTTTCAATGGTTAACATTGATAACTTTGGTCAGTTATGTGGCGTATGTTATGTTTGAGGCTCCTGTTAGTAAAATTGAACAAATTTTATCAAAATAAATTTAATAATAATTATAATATTTTTATAGTTAACTAAAAAAAATAAAAACAATAAAACAAATAAAATGATAAATTAAAATATTTTTATTTTGAAGCAATTGTTTGATTTTTTTTTTGTTATTTGATTATAAAAAATAAATAATTTTACA